TATATATATATATATATATATAAACGTAAAATAAATGGAACGGACGCCAGTTACAAAGAGTCGATAATATACTGAACCAACGGAGTAATTGCAGCGCTATCTATAGACAAAATATAAAATTTGTACACGTTCTTTTTTTGAAAGAAGAGATAGCAGATAACGCCGATTTTAAGGCAGCGAGCGTATACGCCGTGTCACGTGGGCAGGCGCGACAAGCGCATATTCGAGAGAAACCTGGCGCCCTGGTGGCGGTCTTGGGGCGGCCATATTTTCTCTCGTGGGTTTTAGTCACGAAGGTGGTGGTTCGCTGACAATTTCTGGGATGCGCCGTTTGAAAATATTCTCGCGTGTTTTATACTCGTAAATAAGTGATCGGTGCCAATCATGGCTAAAGGGAGTAACAATTTGAGTGGGAGACGGTCGTCGTCGCATAATACGAAGCCCTACGACGCAAACAATGTGAGTAGTATTTCTTTGGCACGAGTCCGCCGCGATAGGAACGAACCTGTCTCGCATCCAACGATTCTTCGCGCGTTACCGCCTAAATTAGTCATTCCAACAAATTTTCACTATGTACCAGCCTCTCCTCGGATTACTTCTTGCGCGATTAACCGTTTTCTGAGATACACTATCGTTGGACATAGACGATGTCACGGTTATGTGAGTCCATTCGATAACCTCAATCTTTCCCATACTACTTTCATGAAATACCTATCAAGACGCTTATAACACGTAACCTTGAAACGTGATTCCTTACCAGGAAAGTTGTGAAGAATCTCTTATTCGATTCGATTTTCGTAAATTTGTCACATTGTCAATTCAAAGAAATTTAAATGTTATTAGTTTACATTCGCATCTAGTGTACGTATGAAAAAAACACGCATGACTTTGGAAAATAGCGTTTTGCGCAAATTCACGTAATAACTTGTAATTTTTTCTGAAGATCATTTCTTTTTTTTCTCCAAATGATAACGTCCTTTTAATACGACCAATTTAAAGCAATGTACAATTTAATTTGTTTCGATCGAACTGTTTTAACCTCAATTTCCAAGAATGATTTATGTATTGTAATTTTTATTGTATTTACATACAGTTTAGCAAAAATTTATAGATGGATCTTATACCTTGACTAATCTCTTATTTCTTTGTCTGTATTGATTTATATTAACATCTGACAAATATAGT